CAACTTCTGAAGCACTAGATATGACAGGGGGGGATGGGATCAGTGAAGGCTGGTTCCCCCTCCAAAGTCGCATCTGAGTGCACAGACTGAGGAGGAAGCCATTTTGGCAAAGAGTTGGGAACACCCCAAGCAGAGAGTGAGAGAGTGCAAAAGGATGTTAGAGATATCTCAACCAGAGACTCTGAGTAAGTTAAAGTACAGTATTTGTTTATGTAAGGCAAGTCTCCATGGACCCAAATAAATAAACAGAAAAGAGACAAATATAAAGAGTCAGCAAAATGGACTTTAACTTTTTAAAAAATCTTACAATCACGGTAGAAGGGAAGCCCCCCACCACCACTTGGATTGGGAGAACAAGAGGAGAGGAGAGAGAAAGGGAGAAAGGGGAGAAAACTACCTTGCCACGGAAGTAGAGCAATTTAATATAAAAGCCTCGCTCTGTGACTATTTGAAATACCGATATTAAATCCTATTTACTTAAAAATGCTGTGGATCCTTTAAATTTTTATTGTTGTGATTTGGCAACTGTGAGAACTTTGTACCTGGAGGGAAGTTCCGCCACCTCTTGGATTGGACATGTAAATATGACTGAGAATGGAAACTAAAACAGGCAAGCAAGCAGGATGAAATTGCTCCGTTAAATCTACAAATGGAAAGAGCCAATGACATACTTAGATTCCAGAATCTACCAGAACAAAAAGGAGAAGGTACAGCACAAGTGATTACTACCTATTTAGCATTGTTCATGGAGATGCAACCAGAGCATGTTCAACAAAATATAGACACAAATGAGCTGCAGTGAGCAAGAAGCTTCATTACTTGGTGATATTTGAGAATTGTTGAAGAAACTGTTGGTTTGGCACCATACTACATTTAACAAATACTACCTGAAATCCTGTTGTTTAACATTTTAAGTTGTACCTGTGGGGTTTGGTGAGTCAACTCCTTTGTAAATCCCATTGTTCCAATCACCTGCTTTAGTTGTAATTTACTGTACTAAGCAACTGATTTCAGCCATTGATGAGAACAGTAGTTTTGGTTTTTGCATATTAATAGTAGATTTCATTTCCAAGTGGCACCATCTGCACAAAAGAAGGGATGTGGCTTTGCAAGCATTGGACAACTTCATGGTTTAATTTAAGTGTAACAAAAAATGAGGAAGGGAGTTTTTACAGATTTAAAGCCTGACGAGGACTGAGTATGCTCAGTGGCAATGATTAGGGATGGGAGTTTTTTGGACGGCATCGCCCACAGTTCACAGAGGCAAAATTCCAGGAATTACAGCCAAAACCAAAAGTGTACAGAGCAAATTTCATTACCTGCATGTGGGTTTCCATTGCTACTATTCTTTCAAGAAAAAGCAGACTGTTCTGGTAGAGCCTGGGAGTTGCAAGGCTCTATGGGAGTCTGAAAGGTTTGTGGGATGGTTAGTACTTTGAGTGGCACTCTCTGTACAACTGGGTGGGCAGTGAGACTACCTGTACTATGAGTCCTTGCCACTCTCATGGACCTTTGGCATTCCCATGCACCAGTGGAGCAGTTTTTGCCTTCTCGAAAGGTGAATAATGGCCATGGAGGCCCATTTGTAGTTTTTTACTGCATCTCCCAGAAATGTGAGAGTTGTAGTCCAAAATATCACAGAAATGTGAGAGTTGTACTCCAGAATATCTGAAAATCACATCCTCAGCCATGATGTTGTCTGACTTTTTGGAGGTAGGGTGAGGAGAATATTGTTCTTATTCTTATCATGTAAACTGGGAACCTGGTAATAGAAGAAGCAGGGTAAATAGACTTTAAAATAAACAAATACACGGGAATATTGGTACATTATCTACATTGCACTGAATTTTTGATAAGAAACATACATGAGAAATCCTTTTCTCATTAATGTGAAAATACATACACAATTGATACGTTACACAGTAGTCTATTGTGTGTTCACAGACAGACAGAGAGAGAGTGCGAGAGAGAGAGAGAGCGAGAGGAGCAACTGCAATTTTGTTGCAATTAAAAAAACTGTAACAAAGAGATTTAGAAATGCAGGTAACAAGTCCATCCACTGGAGTAAAAAAGTTTTTTTGTCCACTGTTTTTCCCCCCTTAGACATACCTAGAGGGGGAGTTATATCTCTATGAGAGATAGTGCATTACATGGAGAAGTTAAAAGTTCTGTCCCTGGTTTAAGCAGCAGGTGGTGGATGAAATGTCTACCTGAGAGCTCATGAGCTGTTGCCAGAGTAGACTGAAGTAGACTTAGAGAAGATGGGTTGAGTGGTGTGCTGCAAAGTAGCTGGCTGTGTAAAATATACCATTTAATTTTGTCCATAGAATAAAAATTGATGGATATACTAATTGGAAAAAAATTGGGAATAGCTTTGGCTTTGTAACAGGTTCTTGAATTTGACAACAATAACATCTATGTACATTATAAGAGGTTTAATAATGGAAAGTCCAAATGTGGCCAAGACCTAAGGATGTTTTCTAGATGTTTTGAGACAAGAAAGAAAGGTTATGGTTTGGTATGCAAGAAAGGGCACTGTGGTTCAATATCTTCACTTAACTAACCTTTAAATGTGCAATTAACATTTAAAGAAAATAAACTTTGTGGAATGCTGTTGAATAATTGCAGAAATGTGGGAAGTAATAAAATGTCTCAGTTCTGTTTAATAGACAGTTTTTGAGCACCACAGTGCTGACATAACATAAAATTAGAGCTACAAAGCATGAAAGATTGAATACAAAGTGCACTTCAGTGCTGTCACAAACACTTCCTTTTCTGTCTAAATCAGGATCACTAATGTGCCACTTTAAATATGATTTCATGCAGGCTGTTGAACTGTACTATTCTGTTCTCCTGTAGGTATCTTGAGTTAATGGGTGCATGTGTGCAATGTATTCAAATTGGACCTGAGGACAGTTGTCATACCTTCTTGTTAAGGAAAGACAACTTTTAAGTTCAAGGTCTATAGCTAGTGTTTTCCTTCCGCTTAGATTTAAGCGTTCCATCTGGTATTGTTATATGGAAACACATTTCTGAAAGCATTTTTTCAATAGAAGGCTTAAAGTATTGATGTTGGCCACAGTTAAGTACATTTTGGCTTTATGCATATGGATGCCATACCTATCTCGCAGTGGAATGGAGGTGAAAAATTCAAAGCTGCATGACAGATGGTGAATTTTTAAGTGATGAAGACTGATTGCAGTATAATAAGCTTTTTCACTGCTTTGTTGCGTTGTAGTAATGTTCTTTTTCAGTGGCAGGTGGTGGCTCCTGAAAAATTATCCATTTACAGATATTGTCCTTTCTTGTACAGTGGTGCCTCGCATAACGGGCGCCCTGTATAGCGACAATGTTTTTACGATCGCTTTTGTGATCACATAACGATGTTTTCTATGGGGGAAAATCGCTTTGCGATGATTGGCAAGCTGTTTCGCTTACAGATTATCGCATAATGATGTTTTCCCCCAGCTGATCAGCGGTTCCAAAATGGCCGCCGGGTAAAACAGGGACGGATTCCTCACTTACTGGGCACCCAAAAGGGTTGCCGTATGGAGGATTTTCACTTAAAAGGTAAGTTTTAATCCCATAGGAACACATTGAAGGGGTTTCAATGCATTCCTATGGGCTTTTAAAATCCGCTTAGCGACGAATCCGTATAGCGACGATTTTTGCTGCACAGATTATCATCGCTATGTGGGGCACCACTGTATTTAGTTGACTCAGTAAATTTCTTCACTAAGTGATATATTTTTGTATATTTGTCTTCAGCAGAGTTAGGATGATTGTAGATGGTTAGTCGTGGTGCAGACCCATATATACCATTAAAATAAAAAATGAATAGGTTTATGAAAAATACTAGAATTATTACAGAAAAGACTGAATCCTATTTGTAACTAAAAAGAAGGTGTGTGCTGGGATATATTGTTGAAAGAGATACAGGAAGTATTTCAACAATATATCCCAATATTCAACAGAGAAAGAACTGTTGAAGTATAAAAGGTGATAATAGTGCCTAAGAATATTCTGGGGCACTGCTTAAATCATTTTGTCTCTCAATGTCTTCAATATACTGCTTAATGGTTTTCTTTGCATGTTCCATTCCCGTGGTTAACAGAGTCAGCTTAGAGAG